CCACCGGTGGCCCACGCCGTCAGATAGAAGCGCAGATTATGGCACAGCGGTGGCTCACGCCAGGTTCAACGTGTTAATTACAATACTAGATATCAATTATTACAATAATTACAATAATAGATATCAATTAATAGCATCGTATCTTGCCCCGACGAAATGTTACAATCACGTGTGAATTTTATCTCATTATCTTTTTGTATTTTTGTATATTTTTCTACTTATTATTTCTTTGCATTTTTCTATTTATCACTTTCTTGTATATTTATCCCCCTTCATATTTTCATTTAAATTGTACGAATACCTTCCTTCCTCGCTGTACGTTTACTACAGCACATATTACTATTTACATGAAGTAATTTATTATAAAGTAATTGAGAAATTTGCAAATCTGTAACATAATCTGGATAACATAAATTAAACTTGTTTATTTCAGTCACGGAGATCGCATGCTTTTCGTGCTTCATCCTTTTCGTAAAAACAAAGTATTATTATTTTCCATGATTCGATTATTTATTTCGAAGATAATTTTTTAAAGGGCTCGTAAAAATTATTCCATGCGCTATTAATTAACAGCAGCAATTTATCAGGATGCGATAAATTATTGTCTGTTTGAAAACAATTGATTCACGGAACTTCGCTGACTGAGGGTTTTCTTACTCCAAGTCCATCAAGTCTACAAATATCTTTATCGCCTTTCTTTAATCCATTAAGGGCTAAGTAGTAAAATAACGAACAAAAGTTGCGGAAACGCGTAACGTTATCGCAAGGTATAAAGAACGTAACTTACGTATTGTTTCAACTTCGTAAAAAGAAGAAAAAACAGATACTTTACAGAAGCCCGCTATGCAAATCAGAAACATTAAAGAAATTTTAATTATTTTCCTCTAAATATTTTAATCTCTTCGAATTTCATATCATCGAGAAGCTTGGCTAGAAGAAGAGACAATAGCGAAAAAATCTGAAGCTAATTGTTGGAATTTATGTCATAGAATAAATAAAGAGATGAAACCTTTGAACAGGTGCTTATAGGAATCGAAAGATTACAAAAAATGTAATAGACTTCAATCATGTAAATTGACCAAAAAAGAATGACAGATGATATATCGGATAGAGGCAACGGTGACTCTTAATTGGCCAATATTCTTTGAATATTTTCATTGCGCGTTCCAGACAGCGTTTAATGAGTCAAACTCTCCGTTACTTTTAACGCGAAACATTCTCATAAACAGTGAAGAAAAATTAGCGAGCTCCTAGAACAGCGATTTCCTAGGCATTCTATACCTTTTCTCGAAAGAATCACAGTGAGAAATACTCACGACACGTTACAAAAGAAAATACAGCGGAATGTACTATAGCTAGAATGGACTAATTAGTTCTAGAATATTGTTCGTTGTAGTAGTTAAAAGTCTTACAGATTTCTCTTTAGCATACGAAAAAATACATATACATGTATATTGCACGCGTATATACACCGGTCCCTGGAAGTATTTAAACACTTATCACAGAAAACATATATGTCTATTGTATGTGCTATGCAAAATAGCACATTCTTTTATATGCAAGTGCATATTTTTTTTTTTATTTCATAGCATTGACTCATAATTTCATTAGCACTGTAATGAAACACGACTATCGTGATTACTATATTGATAGAATTTGAAACCAATCTGGAGATGCGCAATAGCTCATGAAAGTATTTAATCACTCACTACACAAATATTGTATGTGTACACATGATTGTATATGTTATATACATAAAATTTTGTTAGTACTGTTATGAGTCATGATTATCATGATTATTGTATTGATAAAATTTGAAACCGTTCTAGAGATGTACAGTGGCTCGTGAAAGTATTTAATTACTCACCATAGAAAAATTTTATGTATATACATATGTGTTTATATATATACATGTACGTGTTGTATAGAGAAATGTTGAGTTAAATTGGAAGTGTAAATGGTAAATTGGTTCTTCGATTGCAGGAATGTCGCCGAGCCAAAATGGATTGCATCAGAACTCGATGCAGATGGGGATGGCGACGCAACACCACGGAGGACGGTGTAGCGTGACCGGGAACACGCAACAGCAAACGCAAAGTCAACAATTGGGCCTAGGCGAGCCGCAGAGATAAAAGAGACTTGCGATTCGGCGGCCCGTGCGCAAGATCCCGAGGTCGCACGATGTGCACGTAAACGGTGTTTAAAAACAGGAGGCAATGGTTTATAAAAGATCGACTGACTCGCCAGTGTTACACGCTGCGTAACCACGAGAGCGATTTATTAGCCGAGATTCACGCGCTCGTATCTCCTCATCCCTAGAAGAAGGACGCATGATATTCCTGCAAAGAAAACAAACAAAAAATCTCGTGCGCAAAGAAAGAAAAACGCAGATTAATCATTTAGGACGTGCACGTCTCTAGAAGAAAACAAGATCTCCCTCTGTCTCTAATAGAAAGGAATCCTCATCTCTATCCTCATTGAATTGCACGATATACGTACGTGGATCTCTAGAGTAGCCGATGCGACCCTCGTTTATTCTTGTTATTCTTTGATATATACATATATATGGTGTACATCGAAACACAACACGTCGATCACGGTCGAGCCTCTTCAGGACCTCTCGAAAAGAAACAAAAAAAAGCTCTTCTCTTCTTCCGTCGGATTATTCTGGTGATACGAGTAAGAGAGGGGGGAAGGGGGAAGAAAGAAGGGAAAAAGAAAACACACGGAGAAGAAGGAAGAACACGAGAACGGAAGTTGCAAAGACTATTTTTTATTTTTTTCTTTCTCATTTCTTTTTCAAACGTGCTGCTGGGACGGTAGTTCCTATGGTTATGAAAGACAGCGATACTCTCCTTAGCGTTTATGAAATTAGTATGCGTCCAGAATGCCGCTTGATGTAAATGAGTAGCGAGAAGCCTCCTCCACCGTCCCGAGTATCTTCCTTGTTGTTTCTCGATCTACAGACTCGCGGCTAGATAGGAAACATTTGCGGTTCGTGGGCCGCGGAAGTCAATGAGAAATCGAATACCACTTCCACACCATAGTACAAAAAATTGCCGGCACTGGATAGCGCTTAGCGATGAATGTTAGTTTATGTTTATTTTATTTCCTTTTCTTTCTCCTTTTTTTCTCTTTCTTTGGTAGTCGAACAAAATACATCGTGAATGTAATTCGATTCCGGTTGACTATGAGTTGAAAAAAGGTTATTGTACTCGTATTTCTTGTCGTCTGTTTTGTTTTTGACGACGATCGAATTTAATACAGAGACTTTTATGTAAAATCCGATCATTGTCGGCATTGTCTTATAATGATAGTAATAATATAAAATGTCTAACGAAAGGTTGAAAAAGAAAAAAAAAGAATTGTTCATGCTCAACGCGACAAGAGCAATGAATAGAAACACGAGGCTAATATTATAATGAATGCGAAATTACGACGAAATATTATGTAAAAAATTGTAAAAAGAAATTTACTGATTATGTAATGTCCACTAAGTATTTATGTAAAGTTACTCGAAGAATTATATATGTATACATTTCTTAGAACGTCGTTTACACGAGAATATCACTTGCTCAGATAGTATATCCAGTGTAGGTCATTTTTGTTCTACGAGGAAAAAGGCAGTGGAGCCATATTAGCTGAGCTGTTTCATCGTCAATTGAATTTATAAATAGGAATACAAATAGGAATTTCGTACTACTTCACATGTGAAATGATTTGATCCTAGAGTTCGTGTTATTCGCAGAAATTCTTGTACAACAGCTTATTGTAATTTACCTAACCAGTATATAATAAAACTGTTTTCCATTTCAGTCAATCATTCTTACATAGATATCGGTAACATATATCTAAAGTTTAGTTTCATTTTCGCTCCGAACAATCTTTTTCTCACAATAGTTTACTTAATCGCGCGACGCATCTACTATCGATTCGTATTTAATTTCAAACAAATGAAAGACATTTTATTATCCCTCTCTGAATAAACATATAGAATGTTGAAATACATCAGCCAGTTGCAGATTTCTTACTTACAGTAATTAATAAAGTCATAGTCTCGAAAGATACAAGGGACATTATGATCAGTATAATCTAATTTTTAAAGATGGAATAGTTCAAGTATTCGAGTTTCGCTGCAGCTTCATCATTATGCATTCATTTATGTAAATATGGTAGAAATGATGTTATGCGAAAATTGAGTATGAGATGTTTTTCTGTAAGGTATACGCTTTAATGTCTTTTTTTTTGTGTTTGTAACATGTAGATCAGTGTTGTATAATGTATTATAGTTTATACATTATTATATCTTTCTTTTGTGACCTGATCATAAGATATATACGGTATATTAAAATTATGTATTGGTATGACAAGATATCTTTTTTAGAAAAATTTTGTTCATTTTAAATACGTAGAAATTTTGAAACACTGATCTAAACTATTATGAAAATATTATTATGTTATGAAACTCTTATTATTACTAAAATTATTATTATTGTTTATTTGACTATCAATGATAATAAATAATGTTTATGTACATAATTTTGAAAATTGATCTAAATAAAACATTAATAATGGTGCTTTCATAGACTTTTATATAATTTTACGTAATTCTCATTCACGCCCTTTGTGCTTCGAACTTGGAAAGACAATTCGCTTGCTAATTTTAATATTAACGTATTATGTACATGTAATACAATGATCAATATATTAATAAATCCAAATACAAGCGACATAATTTAAATGTTACATCGCTATATAAATTATGAGATTAAAACTGTACAATGAGACTTTCCATTACAATAATGGTAACATATTTTTATCACTTTTCCATTACAAAATATCGTAATGTCGACTAGTAAAAACAAAATTCTATAATTTATTAATATCCAATTACGTACCTTTATATGTAACACTGTTTGTTACATTTATGTCAGCTGCATAGAAAATATATATACAATATGTTTAGTATACAGTATTTGTGAAAAATTGGAAATCTCACTATGTGAAAGTCATATTTATCATGTTTCTACTCCTCTACCTAAACCAGACCACCTGTCCGGTACAGGTAAGAAATATCGGTGCATAGCGGCTATGAAACGAGCTCGATATTCTTCTGGTGATATTATTGTTGGCAATTTTCCCTGGCCACCTAGTATGCCCGTTTTCTTCACCATTGTTTCTAACTTCTTGTCCCAAGTAAACGTTCGTATATAATCTGTAATTATAATAATAGTTCCAAGATATCTTGTATCTAGAAATATTACATTCATAATTCTCTAAACTTACCTATTATACCTAGGACGAGTTCATCTGAATTTGGTTCTAAACCTACTAATAGTGAATAATCCATCACAGAATTATCAGCCAGGAATTTTGTGTCTTGTTCGATAGCTCTATTTAAAACCGCTTTGGAATGTGATCTGATATAGAGCGGCGAATCGCAGCTCACTAGAAATATATCATATGTATTTGACTGAGAAATTTTTATACATATATCTATATAAAATGATATTAGCACAACACCACTTACTATTCAATAAATTTTCATCGAGCAGTACAAGTTCTCCTTCGTGACACGTATCATCAGGATTTACAAGACGATTTCTCACTGATCCCTTCAAATCAAATTTGTCTGTTATCGTTCTCTTGTAAAATAAGTTCTCCATCACTAATACACTAGTTCGAAGTGCTGCATTTGTTGTATTGTTTTTAAAAGATACTCTGTAAACGCCGACTATCTTTCCTAACAATGTCGGCTGCTTAGTCTGTTGACATTTTTCCATATAGGAAAAGTAATTTGGTGCAAAATCAAGAAATATTTGCATTTCTAGTCTAGACATCTCTTTTATAATAAACCTATCGTCTGTAACAAATTATGTATCGATCAAGAAAATTAATACATAGAGAAGTTTATTTCGTACTTCATTACGTAACGTAAAAATATACGTATATTCATATAATATTATACCTCGACTTTTGCAGAAACTGCTTCCGCTTTTTCCACCTCTCGCAGCCCATTGTACACTTCGACATAAACTTCTTGTAAAACCATCCTCTCCACACGGTAAAACATTTTCTCTAAAAGCAGCAAATTGTGCAGCGAAATATATTCTACAATAGAAATTTGTCGTTGCGTCGTTAAATTGAACTTCGATGTAATTTTGTTGTTTTGTTGTTTTCTTGTCCTCATCTGTGTCTGTTGTCGTTGATGGATTTTGTATGGTAGAATCCGTATTTGAAATAGTTTTATCAGAGTCTAAGGGACTTGCAGGATTTGGACTATTTCCTCGGAAAAATGACAAAACAGATGGCCGCTTAAATTCTCCAGATTGGATCACATCAGGAAGATTCTCTTTATTTTCGGGGAATTTACGCTTATTCAAGGGACTGGGATTTAAATCAGGTCCTTTCGTCGTACGCATTAATTCCTGAAGTACGTGTTTATAGTCATGTGAATCTAGTGCATATGCGATTATAGATGAAGGCTCTGATTCATATACCACTATAGGTACAACTGATCTGTAAAACAAAGATATTTTAGAATATTAACTAATTATGTATAATTATTTTCTAACGTACTAAATATGTAGAAATGTTTTAATATAATCAACAAACCCAAGAGGAAGTAAATGATGTTCTAAAGTTCCTAAAGGATTTACTATCGGCTGAGTAACAGAAACGGAAGGTAATAGTTGTGATAGAATAGTCTTTTTCTTTTTCTTTTTATCTGGCATGTCATCAAAAGTAATAGGCAAAACATCAGAATGTGATCTTTGATGCATTTTTGGAGATTCTTGAATGATAACAATGTCTTCAGGATTATTATTTTCTAAGACTTCGTTGTCTGAATTTTCTAAACCTTCCATTCCTTGTAAGTCATTTTGTGCAGCAGCAATGGCATCAACAGCATTATAGTCCGCTGACATAGGACTTAAATCTTCTAACTGCGATTCTGATGCAGTATCTTCTGTTATATATCCATCTGTATCAATTATACTATTACTTCCAGTCGTCAACGATCGTTCAGTAAATCGTCTTGGTCTCTCATCCTTCTTTTTAACAGACATTTCCAAGATATTTGCATTCCAAGTAAATACAACTTCTGATATTATTCGTTTGAGGATTACTATTCCATCTTCAATTCTAAACATTAGAGCTTGAACCTGCTTTTCAGATACTTTTCCTTCAAGTTTTTTGTTCTCTAAAGTGGGGGATGTCAATTTCAATTGAATTTCTTCAATTTTATTTTTGAAATACTGTTGATCCTTAGATAGCTGCTGTTTAACAGCATTTAAAATATCTATATCAGTTTGTAAAGTTGTCAATTTTTCTCGTATACAAGAAAAAACTTCGTCTCCTTTCAATGCTATACTTTTCATCTCTTCTATCACATCTGCATGTTGTTTTGGATCATACATAATATTTATCACCGGAGGTGGAAGTGAAATCTCCCACTGCGATATTTTTGTGTATTTAAACACAGCTAACATATTTTTCTTTGTGAAATATTGATAATGATCATGGTGAAGTGAGTGTTGACAAGTATCTGTTCCGCGTCTGGTGTACGCGCTTCCATGAAACCGTAGTTCCAAATACTTTGCAAAAGATAAAGACCAAGTATCATCCGACATTGGAACTACTGGTGAAACGCTTTTACATTTCATACATTTGCTCCACATTAAAATTTGATTTGCATTCTCTTGAGAAAATGGATCGGTGCTCATTTCACTTAAACTAATATATATACATCCGCCGTCGTGTGCAAATCGTCGGATATGATGAGCGATTTGTGCTCGACATGCTTGAGCAGGACATTTATATTCAGATGTTAAACAATAACGTTCCAAGAAACGTCCAAGCGCAATATCATTTCTTCCATATAAATCCATATTAACTACCCAAGGATTTACGCAAAATGCTGGTGTATCACTATTACCAGTATGTGAGAAACTACAAAATAACACAGATAAACGTTGATGACTAGCAGGATCTAAACAATCGGGCCACATAGGAGGTTGTTCAGTTACTTCTGATTGTACCAGAATTTGTTTATCCGATAAAACATTATTCGTTGGATATAAGCGACTACCACATGCTCTAAAATTGGCTAATAAAGCTTGTACCTTTCGGCTATCCACATCTGTAGTTAATCTCGCTTGAACAAATGGATGTTGTGGTTTTAATTTTAAATTCATTAATGGGTTTTCAATTACAGACTGTTCTGTAAATACATTACCCGTTTTAATTTCTTTTACTTTATCCATAAATTGTACAGAATAAAAGATTTCTCTCGGGAAAAAACTTCGCAATATGCAATTTCTTCCTGTCTCAGTTTCTAAATAAGGAACAGAAAATTTTAAATAAGGCGATACACTTAATATAGTGCCTTCTAATGCTTTCTTAAATTTATTTAATAATGGTAAATCGGCAACGCTCAAATGTTGTCCATTTGGACTAGTTTGACTAAAGACATCTTCTTCATCTTCATTTAAGTATTGATGAAGAGGATCACTATGATCGCTAATAGATTCACCATAAATACGTTTTTCTTCTGAGACAACTTTATCTTTTATTTTTGATTTTTCAACTTCTTCTTTAATATTTTTATTCACTTTTATCGTAGTCTTTCCACCAAATAATTCCACTGTACTATTTGTATCTTGCTTGCCATCTATATCAAGATCGGAACTATTATTTAAATTATCATTATTTGTTTTACTTGTTAGGCAATTCCCTGCAGCTTTTTCGTCAATTACAGAAGATTTTGTTTTGGGTTTAAATAATTTTAAAGTATCATAAGGATCAATATCTTCAGATAATATAGAAGATATTTGTTTAATGGAGTTTGAAACTATGTCTTTTATTGGTGTACCTTCATTTAATGAAAGTTCTAGTTCTAGACATAGTTTATCACTTGATACACTTCCAGAATCTTCTTGAACTTCTGATACCTTTAAAATTTCCTGATTCTCTGTATACTCTTTGCAATGACCCAATAACAAATCATTTTCTTCACTAACTTTAGCATGTAATATTTTATTGGTTTCTTGAAAATCTTTGAAATCTTTGCACGTTTCATCCAAAAATGGATTATCTTTAGGCGATGGTGGTCTTGCAAATTCATCCATAAGAAATGACTTTTCAAGACGCCAAGAATAAGCAGCAAAGATCATCATTGAAGTCACATTCTTTACTTTTTTTAATTCTGTTTGAGAACCACCTCGTAACAAGATTGTAGCTCCTAAATGTGGATTTGCACATCCCTCAAAGTACATTAACGTTTTAATACCATCTAGAAAAAAGGAAACAAGATATTAAGGTTTAGTTTACTAAAGAAAAATTTAATAGAGAGAAAAATTGTAATGTTTTATTACTCACTTTTATCATTTGAAAAGTTTCGCAAATAAAATTTTTTACATGTACCAAGCATATACCTTGCACTTATGTGTGCATCAATAGTATTCACAATATTAGCACCTGTACACCGTGCAATCCTTTCAAGAACACTGAGTTTTACATTCAAAACAAGTGTTACTCCACATTCTCTGAGTCTATCTTGTGCTAATCTTGAAACAGAACGATGTACTAGTACAACATCTGGTCCAAGTGCGGTAATCCTAGCAACTGTGTGACCCAAATATTCGTTTTCCTACAAAACAACGTTTTTCTGATATATTTATGATGTGAAAATAATAGTATTATTAAATTTTTCTTCATACTTGTAACATCACAGGTTCTAGACTTAATAATTTTCCTTCTACGCGTTGATACATGAGTCCACACTGAAGTAATAAAATTTTTGGATGAGCTATCATTGCGTTCATTCCTCTGTGTGCAACATTTTTCGTACAAACTACACCAGACACAATTTCACAATCATCTCTACTTCCGCCAGGACATTTTTTTATTTGTACATATTGTCGAATATCCAAATCATCCACATTATGATTTAAATCTGGTCTTACAAAATCAATAATTTGGTGGGCGATAGGGAGTATTACTTCTGACCAACTTTGTGATAAACCTTCTTTATTAAGAAGTTGCTTAATTAGTGAATCTTCATGTTGCTTGTACGCAGATCTATAATTAAGTATATTTAAATATAATTGTTATTATCATTGTTAATATATATTTGATACTCACGTTAGACATTCATACGCATGTAGTTCTCCAAACACGGTTCGCAAATTTGTTGGTTTATGCCAACCATTCTTTTCTTTAAATTCTTGTACTTGTAGTGTATCATTTAAAAGATCATCAGCAATCTTAAAATTACATTTATGTGATTTTACTGTGACTTCCTTCTGTTCAATTATACCATCACTACTATCTACAGAAATTGTAGTTAAGTCTTCCGATGTAGGTCTTTTTAATGTAACAGTAGATGCTTCTAAGTTTAAATCTAAGTAAAAACTTGAACTAGATGATGGTAAACGTCCAGTTGTTTGTTGTACTGAATTCGAAGGTTTTGTTTCACTTTCTGAATCTAAAATTTACATATATCAACAAATATACAAAATAGTTTATACAAATATTTCATATTACCAGTTGTTGAATCATGTTGTGGGATAGTTTTTACCCATGCTGGTTCTTGAGCATCACAGGTATTTTGAGTCTCAATTAATAAATCCATGCTTTGCATATTCGATAATTTGACTGGCTTAAATATAGTTGCTGTATCACTAAATATATTATCAGCAACTACAGGTTCTATAAAACCAGCTTCCAGCAATGCCTGGCCTATAGCAGTAGCTTGCACTCTATAAAATATTACATTTCAGTACTCGTTCTTTTTATTATACTTTCTCTTAAATTTGTTTTAGCTTTACCGAGTAGCTGCTTTATTTTGTGCTATCATCCAATTCACTAATTCATTGGCCAGAAAGCAATTATGATAACTTTTTAGTCTAACTCTATGTGTTTGTAAGATAATTGCTTGACTAGATCTAAATAATTCTTCATAAATCATTCTCAAAGAAGCTGAATTTTGTAAGACAATAGAACGTTCCTGTGATGTTAAGTAACTAGTTGTTGGCCTGAAAATCATATTTCACAAATCTTAAATCATATTAAATTATAACATTTAGCTAGATACACTAGAGACATTAGCTAGAGACAGCTAAAAATATACCGTCCAATAGCATATTTTTCTTCCATATACCCTACACTTGGTTTCCTATAGATTGAACTTTCATCTTCTACTGATTCATTTGAACATTTCTGTGTGACAGGTGGTGAATTATTTCCATATTTAACTTGCAGGTCTTCTTGCAATGCCTTTAAATCTGCTGATAGATCGCTTCTCATGTCTGATGATTGTAAATAAGATAAAACTACTTTGCAACAATATGTACATACTCTGAGATCACCTATTACAAAAAGATTATTATTATCAAGTGCAAATAAATACAATAAAAAATAACCATTTATTATTTATATACCGGTGCATCCCATAACTTTTCCAGGAATCTGATCAGAGCAACATTTCGAACAGAATATTTGTCCACAAACACGGCAATGATGTCTTCTGCGAAAAGTTGTAAATCGTTCACCACATTCATAACACTGCTTGCTTACACTATCTGGCATCCAATAGCTTCTTAGCTGAGAATCTTTGTACGAGCGTAAGTTCTATATTAAGTTAACAACATTAATATCATTAGTAATTCAAATAATTTATACTGCTTAATATTCTTAAGGCAGGTTTCATTACTTACGCTACTTTTCAAAGCTACAATATTACTAATACGTTTTAATACATTTGGTAAACTTCTTCCTTCACGAGTATCTAATGGAAAGTTCATCATACTTGAACTGTCATCTTCAGGTGATTTTTCAGTACTCTCTGACTGTTTCCAAGATTCAGAATCAGATGAGCTTTGTTCTTCATTGGTAGTAGAAGAGATTGTAGAATCATCAACATTTTGTGAACCTAACAATTAAGCATGTTTAAAGAGTTAAGCATGTATATTAATTATTAACTTAAATATTCATTCTTTAGCTCGTATTTATAGATACTAAAATGTAAGCCACAAGTAAATTAAGTTATTCCAAGTTGTGATACTGAAGAAACTATATTGTGATACAATAATTAAATATCTTACCTTTAGTGAAGTTAAAAAATTTGGAAAATAGAGAAGCTACAACAGGTTGGCTTTCTTCAGGACTTAACGGAGCGAACTCCGTAAGTTTAGACGGTGAGTTCATATTTTTGTTCATTTTGTTCAATGCTATCTTCCAATATACATTTTTAGGATGAACTTTTCACTAGACACTGTCTTCGTATCTACGTCGATCAACGTATGCGAATAAAAGATTTTGACAGAAATGTCAGATGTTTGCGTACTTAAATCATAATACACTTACGCTTGCTACAGATGGCACTGTACACAATGTGCAAAAATTAAAAATATAGTATTACTTCACCTACATTTAGGCTTGACATTTAACGTATCAACTTTATTAAAATTTGTTTATAATTCGTCATATTTTTGAGAAAATAATTAGAAAAATAGAACGGTAGAAAATTATTTTAATTACTAAGTATTGTAAAAAGCACTATACTTTGGATATTTTATATATTTTTTCATATTATGTGCATTCTGTGCAATTTTACACTTTCGAATTTCTTATAAATGCATAAAAATACACGAGCTATTTATGATTTAACTTAAAACATCAAATTATTAAAAATTCTTATGAACAAAGTATTTGAGTTTGATGTATTTTGTTTAAAAATTTGTATAAGTACCATTTTATACAAATTATACTTGATGCATAAGTTCAAATTAATTTGTACGTAATTTATTAACATGTATTAAATAATTGATTCTTTTAAGCAATATATTATTTATATAAAAGTAAAGCTGCTAAGTATATCACATGTGTATTCGATATAACATCATTATCTATCCATTATAGTACGATAACATACTTCTATTATATTGTTAGTATGTAAGTGTATAAAATATACGTTTTTTAAATTGATATATACATTGTCTGAATTGCATCGCAATTTTGTTTATTTTTGCAATTATTCTAATTTTTATGCAAAACTTATAAGAAATTTACACAATATTTTATTATACATACGAAAGATACAAATAAAGATACGATAATAAAAAAAAAAGGTAGAAAAATAAAATTTAATATTTAACTTAAAATTAGGGAAACATTAAGTAAATATCTTTAACTGTCTCGTACATAAACCATCATGAATATAATAACATGAGGTGGAGAACGTGTAGAGTGTTATTAAAGTAATCGGTACTTTAACTTCATCAGTGTTTATTTCGATGACTAGTGTGCATCGTTTTAGATCGGACTACGTAACGTTGAGCTCACGTGATGTCGATACTGATCAGATACTGACTCGACACTCACTCTCGAACTTTTCCTCGTTTCCCTTCATATATGCTGAAGTCTTCGGAAGAAAAAGTTTTCTTCCGAAGTGGGGATGGAAAAACTCATAGACGATAAAACAATAAATTTTCCTTACAGACTCACGCGCTTTTTACTAAGCCCAGAATTTATTATTTTCGACGTCCTGGCCTCGGACGTTTCGCAGATCATGCGGCCATGGACCGCTACGTCAGTGGTAACGTTTTTTTTTCTTGTTTTGTGGTTGTTTTCTTGTTTTATGGTTGTCGCAGATAGATTTTGCCTGCTAAAATTATTCTATTGACTTATCTATAACCTGCCTGGAATCGCTCAGGAAAGCGAACTTTCCTGCCTGCGCGCGTGATGTAACTATTTTTTAAATTTTCTTCGCTCCGAAGTGCCCACCCATAGATTTTCGTGGGGTCGTTGGTGCTCGATGTCGTCGGGTACTACAAAAGCGGGTTTTCGTCGGTCTATGGAAACTGTTGTGTTTTTGTTGTTGATTTCTATTGTAAAATTTTTATCTTCGTGTTGTATCACCTTATATGGCCCGTCGTAAGGTGGTTGTAAGGGGTTTCTGACGGCGTCGTTACGCAAGAATACGTATGGCGATAACGCGAGTTCGCGGAAGATGAAAATTTTCTTCGTGCCATATCGTACGATCAGTTGTAGTTTGATCTTTTTGATCTGTTCTTTTACTCGGTTGGCGTATTCTAAGTTCACTTGCTGAGTCGCGGCTAAAAAGAACTCTGCCGGTAATCGTATTCCGGTGCTATAAACCATTTCGGCAATTGCTCGTATCATAACATTTGATTACTGCTTTCAGTTGTCGATGCAATCGCCCTACTATCACGTTGGACGCCGCATGATAGGCCGCCGTGCGCAAATGCTTGATGCCGAACAACCGGCATAATTCTTCGAATAGTTTTGATTCGAATTGGCGTCCTTGGTCGGATGTTATTCTCAAGGGTACGCCGAAACGAGCTATCTACGTAGAAAGGAGGGCTGAACCAACGGTTGATGCTTCGGTTACTGATATCGCTTGCTGATATCGGTTATGGGGACTGATTCGGGCCAATGCGGGAAACGGTCGATACACGTTAGACAATATCGGTATCCTATCGGAATATTGCATCACGATAATGTTTATGTGTATGTGTTGGAATCGGCCTGCTAATGCTCCAAATGTTCCGACTGGTATGGATACGTGCCTGCTGACTTTACATCACTGACATGGACTACATTGTTGTGCCCAGTTTTGACAGTCCTTGTTTATCGATGGCCAAACGAAACGCGTCGTCACCAAATTTTGCGGAGCCCGTATCCCAGAATGGGAAAGTCCGTGTAGCGAATTAACACTTAGCCAACCACGCGCGTCACAGCGAGCTATGTTTCCACCGCGCTCGGACAAGCTAACCTATACACTGTCTACCGCGCATTTCTCCAAGTATCGAGGACTAATATTCATTACTTAAAAAACAAAGAAGTTTAAAAATTATTTAAGTGGTTAATTATATTTTGCGATAATGATTTTATTTAACGATTTCACATATTTTTTATACAAAACATCAAATTAAAAGTATATATTAAAAGTATAGAAAAATACAGGTAACACGACTTTACCGTGAAATTAAAAATTCATAATGCATTTTAATATTTTTTTACAGTGTGGTGTCGTTCGATTATAACTTTATTTAGTCATAACTGATAGTGTAATTTTTTAATTAATTTTAACACCATTAAATTGATGTATTTTATTATATACCGTACTTTACAAAGGAAAAAAAGTGGTGCAATTAATTGGGAACAATTCCAGGTAAACAATAATTGATAATAACAACAATAAGAAAGAAAACGCCAAGCCAAACACTAAACCAAACACTAGCCAAACGCTAAAGCCAAAAAGGGAGATATCCTCGTTCGGTTACGCAGCGATGTTCTTCACAGAAAGAAGATTTCCCTGTACGGTTGGCTACACTGCGCCGCAAGGATTTCGGTACATACGGTTGTACGATGCCAACTGATACATCGCAATATATTTCTATGTCGTGATCAGGAAAACGTATTTTTTTAACGTTAAACCTACCAGCGCTGGTCAAATTGACCGTTTTCAAACTTCTACACAAATTTAATCATATTTACACGTTATCATATCGCTTCATAATTTCTGACTTTTCCTAAAACATGCATACAATATATTTTTCGGTATCTACTTCTAGTTTGCTTTTTTCTTTTCTAAGAAAAAATTGTATTCTGTCCTGCCTACCGTGGGTAGTCAATTTAACCAGCCGATAAAATATTTTAGTTACTCTTAAAATAAATGCAATCAGTACAAAGAAAAGGCTATCTCAAAGTCAGATGATAAACAAAATCAGAATAACACTTGTTAGGCCTGTAATCTTGTCATAGTATAATCCATCTCGATCAAGATAACCACCAGGTGTCAAAACATCAACTCAAGTTCATAATAATCCTAAGGAATCGCCATTGAACTTAACATTTTTTACGGTCAATTGTTACAAACATTTTAAAAGCCGAGAAGTTTTTTAGGGTTATTGCTCATTCCGATAAAACACGGGAAAAGCGGGTTTTTCTCGTGTTCGACGGTTAATTCCACGGTTCCCTTGAGGAACTGTTGGTGGAGAACGGCCAGCACTCATCAATATTTTCGTATAAATATCACCGTCACAGACCATATTCTTACTTGCTATCGCCATTTCGACCAGAATACATCTCAGTTTGTTAATCAATCAGTCGATATCTAAAATTGTTATCACTAAACTCAGACAGAAAGCATCTCAGAGCGTTTTGTGTACAGTTGTTATAAAAGAAAAAATAAGGCATATATACTTTAGTAATAATTTTGTATTTTGTATTCCGTACATGCTATTATTCCGTGATAAATATTTACCTTAAAAATGTCTACTTCCCAAAAAAAAATTATTAAAAAAATAACGAACATAGAAGAAGACTGTTCAATGTGCGATGAACCAGAAATTTCAGCAGCTGAAAACAGCATAGAAACACATGAAAAGCTATTTATAACAGAACCAGAGTTGAATATTATAAATAAGCGTTCACGTCCAGGGCAAAAATGAATTATGTATGTATTATATGTATTATTTCTTTCTTTTTGCGCTGATCGCGGCAATCTGTCTCGTTTCAGGACGGATCTCGTGTACACGATCGGCTATCCGGGTCAGAGTTTCGGCTTTCGCCTATTCCGTAGTGTCCAGGACCCGCTGCACGTAAACCGGTAGTCGGCTCCTTCAGAATGTAACGACGAAGTCATCGGGTGTTGAGACTGTGATGAATTTCTTCAGGTCCCGGTAGAACTTGGACGGCGTCCTAACTCCCATATGTTCGTCCTCTAGCAGCTTTCACACTCTGGTGGAATCCGAGTCAGGCACTCTTTTAATAAGTTCCTTTTTCAGATATTCGTACCGCCCCATCTCCGGTGGGTCGAACAGTATGTCCCGAACTAGCTGTATATACCGTTCTGTAAGATTCACGACGGTGATGTGGTATTTTGTCCTGTCGCTGGTAATACGGGCAGCTTCGAAGTGTGATTGCAGCATCAAAAACTACAGCATTACATCGTGCGACCAGAATTCCGGTATACGGAGCGGTGTACTCACCGTGTTTACACTGTCGTTCCTGTTCGTCGCGGATTTAGCCCCGTTGGTGCTAGTCATTTCGAAGACTCTTAATTCGCGGAAACACTGTTTAAGTCGCGCTACATGTGCATCTCTTCTCAATGCAGATCACGTCGGGGTCACCAATTTGAGGTGGAGGAGGTGTAGGCTGTTATTAAAGTAAAGTTTAACAGTGTTTATTTC